CACCTAACCACTGAGCCACATCCCCAGCCCTATTTTGTATTTTATTCAGAGACAGGGTCTCACTGAGTTGCTTAGCGCCTTGCCATTCCTGAGGCTGGCTTTGAACTTGGGATCCTCCTGCCTTAGCCTCCCTAGCAGCTGGGATTACAGGCATATGCCACTGTGCCTGGCTATTTCATAGAATTTATTATAACTTTTGATGAGTGTTTTTATACATTTTAGTTGTTTCCAAAGAAGTAGTTCATAAACAATCAACTAATACAATGGCCTACCTAAACACATCTGATACAGCAAACAAACAGGAGTTGGAGCCGTGGTGCAGCATGTAATACCTAGCTACTTGGAAGGTTAAGGCAGGAGGATTGCAAGTTTGAGACCAGCCTGGGAAACTTAGTGAGACCCTGTCTCAAAAAAAAAAAAAAAAAAAAGAGTGGCGATGTCACAGAAGAACAGATGTCTCCAGAGAAGGGTCCGAGGAGTTCCTAGTAAAGAGGGGATCTCAACTCAGGAACAGTGGGGTTCTTGGCATATATAACAGAAAAAAAATTTCAGCACAAGCCAGACAAAGGCATAGACCAGGTTTATTTAGCAAGGTAGACACACATTCAAGGGAGCATGCAGGCTGTCTTGAGAGTGAGCAGCAGCCCTCTCTTGGGCGGGGGGTCCAACATTTATAGAAAGGCTGTATCAGGGCCCAGACTGGAGTGGACCCAGGGTGGAGATGCACAATTTCCCTGTCAGTTTCCCCTGCCCTTGCATATTTCTCTCATTTTTTACAAGGGCAGGGGCCAAGGGTGTGTTGCTCAAGATTTACTGCTATGCTTTCTACATCTCAATGGCTTGTGAGTGTTGCCTTTAAGATTCAGTGTTTCTCTCTTTTTCCTAAATCCCTATCTCAGCGTGATAGAAGAACCACAGGGACCAGTAGTTTCTCCTCTCTGCTGTTGCCAGGGAGGGCTGTGAGGACAAGGCTGATGCAGGACAGGTTAAATCTGTGGTCTAGACTTGAGTTTGGTGCCAATGAGATCAAAGGATACAGAATTCACTGTGTTAAACTATGAGTGTTCCTAGAAGATTCTGATTTTAGGGCAGGGACAGCAATTGTATAAAATGGGAAAATTTTTTTGCTTTACTCCTTTTAGTTGTGCTTTGAGGTTCCTTTTCCAATAGTAGAAGGTTGTAACTCACAGTTAGCAGTGTAGACGCGAGGCTCTACATGTGTCTTGCTTTTGCAGGGCCACATCTTGTCTTGGGCACATAAATGGCACATAAATAAATTACCTATTACTGTGGTGATAAGATGTGAACTAACCCTTCTTAAGTAGTAGGAATTCCAAGAATTCTGCTAAGTGAGCCATAGCACTCAGCCCCTCTACTTTCTTGACCAAGAGTTAATGGCAGTCGAGTGCTAGTAGCTAAATTCAGGTCCTGGTCACAACCTGGCTGCAGCACATGACCATCTGGACTCACAAAAATCAATCAGATTCCCTGCAACTGCTGGGACACCTTTTTGGTCCTGGGGTTCCCTTCCTCTTTCCAGCTGTGGCGGAGGTACCCTGAATCTGTGTCTGGAAGAACAGAGGGTCCTCACTGGGTGAGTCGCTCCGACCTACACTGCAGGAGCAACTTCCTTGTCCTTCCAATTTGAACTTTTTCAATCCAGTTTCATTCAGTGAAAACCAATGGACAGGCTCCCGACAGCGAGGTCTACAGGCAGCTCATGGACTTTTCTGCCTTTTGGAGGGGGAAGTACTGGGGAATGAACCCAGAGGGGCTTTACCACTGAGTCACACTCCCAGTTCTTATTTTTTTATTTTGAGACAGAGTCTCACTAAGTTGCTGAGGCTGTCCTCCAACTTGCTATCCTTCTGCCTCAGCCTCTTTGCTGGCATTACAGGCCTGTGCCATGGCTCCGACTACTTTTCTGCCTGTTAGGTCCCCTCGGCTTGTGAAACCTCACTGATCTGGGATTTGCTGCATTTTGCTTCTGGCACTGCCGCAGGGCAAGACAGTGTTGGACTCCATGTCTGGGTTTGATGTGGGAAGACGCATGTTTGTTGCCTAGTACTGGTATAAGTCAGTTCTCCTCTTTTTCTTGCTGGGATCTTTTTGTTCTCCCTTCCCTCTCGTACTCCTGAAGAAGACATGGGTAATACCAGCATAATTTCTGCTGACAGCTCCTTAGGAAAAAAATTAGAAAAATGGTCTGATTCCTGTTTTGCCCCCATGGTTAAAAAGAGAATGCTTTATTGCTGCAATGCTGCTTGACCACTGTATGTATTGGGGTCTGAGGGAAGGTGGCCAACAAATGGCTCTTTAAATGATTCTACTGTTACAGAGCGTGGGTCTGCCCAGAGCTGCGGCGCCATGGCTGTCCTTTCCCAACTCGGTTCTTGCAATCATCCCAGAAAGATTTCATGTTGCTCAGATTCGGAGTAAGCAGGCTTGAGTTTATATTAGAGGGGATGGAGAAAGGGAAAAGGGGACACTCTCAAGGGAGAGTGGTGGGTCTTCTTAGAAGGAAGGAAGGCATGCCTCCCCTTCTTTCCAGTGTTTGGGGAATCCCAGGGAAGCTTCCCCAGACCCCTGCCCACCTCCTACAGGTCCACCTCTTGACTTATGACTGACAGCAGGATGACATTAGACTTTGAAGTTCCCACTGCCATGACAACTCCAGGTCACTTTGGCCCGTGCTGACTGGTTCTAATTGTTCTTACAGATTTTATGGTTAGGGGCAATTATCTGGTCTGTGTAAGGGTCACAGAAGTCTACCTGCTTCAGGGTATTTTGGGCCTGCATTTCTCCTGCAGATAACAGGTTGTTTGCTGAGGAATGGAACATGTCCTATCAACTTAATCCAAGCAAGGCTTCAGGTAAATTGCTTTTTTGAAAAAAGAAAAAGAAGAAACACGTGAGGCTTGGCACAGGGAGCTCAGTTTATAGAATTATCCCCTTAACCTTGTGTTCTCATTGCTCCTATGTGTCTACTCCCCCACAACGCCATCATCCAGAAGGCTGGCGGCAAGGCAGATGAATTCCCTGTATCTGAGCCTTTCTAAACCTTCATGAGGAAGAGAAAAGGGGAATTCAGTGCTCATGGTATGAAGGAAGGACAGGAAGCAGAATGAACCAAGTTGGGACCTGAATATAATGAGGCGATGCCATCTTTGCCATTACCACTACCACCCCCTCTTCAAAAAAAATTGTACTGCGACTTCCTAATAAGCAAAGTTCCACCTCAGTCTGAACCTGGGCCAGAGTCAGGAATGATCTCTTGCAAGACCCAACAGGGCACCCAATTTGGCTCGTACCTGTAAGTGGAGCAGGGCAATTCCTCTGATGCAATGCCTGATAACCAGTTGCATTCTTAGGAGTTCATGGGCCAGTTTCCATCTCAGACTTAATAATTTTGAAAAATAACTTCCCTTCTTTCAAGGGCCACCCACAGAGGATGACGGGCTGTTTGTTGCCCACTTGCTTCATAACACCCAACCTGGGCAGGTGTGCAGGCTGTAATGAATAGTCTCCTAACCACGGGGGAAAGGCCACTGGTGACTTACAAGGCTCAGGAGGAAGTGGGTCGTCTCCATCAGGAAAATCTGGCAGAGATGCAGGAACCAAATATGGCCATCCCTCGTGTAGACCCTGGCTGGAACCCAAACCATGGGCACTTTCCTGGGCTGGGGCATTATTGGAGATGCATACTGGCAAGTTTCAAGGAGGCAGATCATTATTAAGACAGGGGAATTTCAGGACAAAATTATGGAGAATACCATACCTAAAGCCAATGCTATGATATCAGGTAACACGGAAGGGAATATGGAACAAGAAAGTAAAGCTTGCTTCCTGACCAAAGAGAACTAGAGAAGTTTTTGACCAAGTTCATTTGTTCCATACTTTATGGTCCCCATCATGCTCCCCCCAGCAGAAAGTAGCTGAGCAATTCAAAGTCCCTATTCACTCTTTTTTTTTTTTCAAAAGAGTGAGAGAGGGAGAGAGAGAATTTTTAATATTTATTTTTTAGTTATCGGCGGACACAACATCTTTGTTTTTTTGTTTTTTGTATGTGGTGCTGAGGATCGAACCCGGGCCACACGCATGCCAGGCAAGCACGCTACCGCTTGAGCCACATCCCCAGCCACCCTATTCACTCCTACCACATAAGATTATGCAATGAAATAAATTGACAATGGAGATCTGTAACAGGGGAAAAAAGTGTTTTTTGTTCTGTTTTTTTAACTTCTTTTATTGGTGTTTTAAGGTTCCATTTCCTATTAGCTCAGGTTGTACCTCACAGCTTGCTCTGTAGTGTCACATCTTGTCTTTGAGTTTGCTTGCACATAACAAGGTGCAAGTAGTGATAAGATTTAAACTAACCCTTGTTGATTAAGTTGTAAGAATTTAAGAACACCCAAGGGGGGCCCTCTGTTTTTTTCACCAGGAGTAACCCTTTGTTTGCACCTGCATAAGATAGGCCCACCTCTCCATGTGACAACATGCAGGAAGAACCGTATCTTTAAGTATCTGCAGGGGGCAGGCAGATGGGCTCTGTGGTGAGGGCCTCCGGGCTCTTGGTCTTCTAGTTTCCACTAAAGACTGTTCCGCCTCTGCACCTTGTCTGTCAAGTCTTTGGCAATCCAGCCCAAGTAGACACATCTGGGTCCAGCAACAATTAGGAAGAATTGCCTCAAGAAATTCAAGCCTTGTGCCTGGGGTTGTAGCTCAGTGGGAAAGCGCTTGCTTAGCTCGCTTAAGATCTTGGGATCCATCCCCAACTTTGCAAAAAACAACAAAAACAAACAAACAAACAAAAAACCAAACAAAACCCCCCTTAAGTCATTAGTCCCAAAGGCTGCTTGGAGAAAGTAGGAATGACAGCAGTCTAGCAACTCACTCCCAAGGGAAGAAATGCCCCAAAGCTAGTGTCTCACTGATTATTATAGTTTTTAGGTGATTGCACATAATAACCATGTTGGTTTATTGGTTTCTTTGACTTACAGTTCAAATTGCCTTAATATTTGGTGCAAGGATATTAGACTATGTCTTCAATATGTGTGAAGGTAAATTTGATTTCCTCGAACGGCTCTCAGATGATTTGCTCCTGTATATCATTTCTTATCTGGATCTTGAAGACATTGCCAGGCTTTCTCAAACATCACGCAGATTTGCAAAGGTAACATTATTTTGTGTTTATGTAGAACCTTCCCTGCATTCTCCTGATACTTTTTTCTTTGATAGAACTTCGGATCCAACACCAGGGACTCACACCTGTGGGAAAGTGCACTTCCATTGAGCTCAGCCCCAGCCCTTCTATTTGCATTTATTTCAACAATGATTTGTTGAGTGCTGACTCTGTGATGGAACTTGTCCCAGGCACACAAGCAGCAGATGATGAAGCACTATGTCTACTCTTGAGGGAACTTAAAGTCTAATAGGAGATGTTCATGCAGATACAGGCCATTACAACACAGGGTGACAGAATACAAAGTGATGTCCTCTTCTGGCTTCATCGAAGTGGGTTACTTTATCTGGATTTTGATTGGAAATAGGAGTTTGACAGGTGGTCAGGTTGACTGGGGACATTCCAAGGCAAGCAAGAGCTCAGGCAGAGATATGGTGGCTTAGCAGAAAAATTCGAGGTGTGACGGCCCCACATCCGCTCCTGTTCCCTGAGTCACAGCCTTTGCTGATTTACCTGTCTCCCAGTAGGTGGTTCTGCATGGCCACTGAGTGCCCCTTGTGCCCTTCCCCCAGGCTGCCCAGAGGGACCCCTGCTACTTTGAAACCTTACACAGAATGTACTCACACTAGAACAGAACACAGTTGGTGCCACTTTCAGCCAGAGTCAGGACAAGATCTTTGGTTCTGTGGCTTCATCTGTTCCTTCAGTTCTAGACCCTCTCCCCACAGCCCCACTCACTTTTCATTAAATCCCTGCTTGGCCTAAGTTAATCAGAATCGGAGACTGTTGCTTGTATTGGAAGAAACTTGATGAGCTGGGTGTTTAGCTGTGAAGCATGGGATAGTGTCCGTTTTCAAAAGAACATACAACGTTTTCCAAGATGATTCAGACCATAATCTTGCCTAAAATTCAACATTTTTTCACAGTTCAATTTCTTGATTATTAAAATTCTTTTAAAATTATATAATCTGTATTATTTACAATACATAATTTCTTTTTTTGTTTGTTTGTTTGTGGGGCTGGGATTGAACCCAGAGCCTTGTCATTCGAGGCAAGCAGGCTACCAGCTGAGCTATATCCCCAGCCCCATACATAATTTCTTTAGAGTATAGAAATATATATATTTATATACATATGCATGTTTATATATTTTAACTTGATCTACCCCCGAAAAATAGAGGGCCAGAAACAAGTATTAAGAGTAATCATTGGGCTGGGGTTGTGGCTTAGTGATAGATAGCGCACTGGCCTAGCACGTTCGAGGGTTCCATCCTCAGCACCACATAAAAATAAATAAATAAAATAAAGTATTGTATCCAACTACAACTAAAAAATAAATATTAAAAAAAGATTCTTTAAAAAAAGAGTAAAAAAAAAGAGTAATCATAATTGTGTGTGTGTGTGTGTGTGTGTGTGTGTGATACTGGGGGTTGAACCAGGGGGCACTCTACCACTGAGCTGTGTCCCCATCCCTTTTTATATTTTTATTTTGAGACAAGTTCTCACTAAGTTGCCCAGGCTGGCTTGAATTTGCCACCTCCCTGCCTTAGCCTCTCAAGTCGCTAGGATTACAGGTGTGCACAGTGCCCACCTTTTCTTTTTACCATTAAGAAAAAGTTCATTAAAGTTGAGACGTTACAGTTGCTGCTGGTAAGAAGCTGCTTAAGATTAGAGACTCTTAAATAAATAAAATACGCTGGTGGGGGTCTGCTAAAAGATTCTGCCAGGCCTGGGTTTGCTCCTGGAGGGGAGGGGGTGGGGGAAAGAGCCAGGCCCTGCAGGTGTCAGTTATCCCTCCCTGGAGCTGCCGGCTCCCCTCCAAGTTCAACTGGCTCCCCTCTCACTCTCTCCTCACGCTCTGCCATTGTTCTAGCCTCCCCTTGGAAACGTCCTCCGTAATTCTGCGGTGTCCTCGCAGAGCAGAATTATCAGGAGACAGCCGGCCGGGGCTCAGGCTGCGGCATCTTTCTTTCTGTGTGATGTGAACCCTGTGTCTCTGTCGTCAAGCTGAGTTTTATCTGGGTTCCATCTTCCTGCTGTGTCCCTTCATTTATCAATCATTTTCATTTAGCTACTTATATTCATGAAAAACATTTATTACCAAACTGTGTGAGAGTTCCCTCTGCTCTCAGGGAGGGGGAGCTCTGGTGTTCAAGGTCAGCCCTCGGCCTGGCTCCAGGGCCCCGCCGGACTTCACTTATCTCCCGTCTCTTCTGTTTGTTGTTGAGCTCCTCCAGGGGCTTCTCCAGCGTCACATCTTACACAACCGTTTGCTGCAAGTGAGCAGCGATACCATTAGTTAAAGTGCACATTGTTTGGATTTCATCAGTTTTTCTCCTGTGTGTTTTCACTGTTTCAGAATCCAACCTCGGTTACTACATTGCATTTAAACTCACATTATTCATTTATGTTTTTTAAAAATATTTTTTTTTAGTTATCCATGGGCACAGTATCTTTATACTGTTTATTTATTTTTATGCGGTGCTGAGGATTGAACCCAGGGTCTCACACATGCAAGGCGGGTGCTCTACCCCTGAGCCACAACCCCAGCCCCATTTATTTATTTATTTATGTTTTTGAGACAGGGTCTTGCTAAATTGCTTACGGCCTCACTAAGTTGTTGAGGCTGGTTTTGAACTCGTGATTCTCCTGCCTCAGCCTCCCAAGTAGTGGGATACAGTTCTTTATCACCACACCCAGCTTTTTAGTTTGAATTTTTAACTCTTTTGTGTGTGTTGGGGGTGGGTGGGTACTGGAGATTGAACTCAGGGGCACTCAACCACTGGGCTACCTCTGAAGCCCTATTTTATATTTTATTTAGAGACAGGGTCTCAATGAGTGCCTAGTCTAGTCTCCTTTTTGCTGAGGCTAGCTTTGAACTCCTGACCCTCCTGCCTCAGCCTCCTGAGCTGCGGGGATTACAGGAGTAGGTTACCCCATGGTTTTTTAACTCTTACTTTATTATTTTTTCCCTCTCTGTACATTAATTTTCTCAAATCAACCTCATCCTTCGGAAGACTATAGTAGGACCAAGTTTCCACCCTCTTAGTACCTCACATTTCCACAAGCCATATCCAAACATTGCTATCACGCAGCCTTGCTCCTTTCTCTAGGGGTATCCTCCTGGACCTCCACCCTGACCTCCCAAATGGCCCTCAAGTGATATTTGTACTAACATGCCCCAGCTCAAGGGTGAGATGGTATCACTGAAGTCTGTACATTCCTCTAGCAGAGTGCCTAGCCCAGGGTCAGCTCCCAGGATGTGGTCCCGAATGCTCCCATAGACGGGCAGCTGTGTCCATTCTGTTTATATTTTGAAAAAGAAAATTGATTTGCATTACAGTGGTCAGATCAGAAATGTTTGAAAGTTATATAGCCTTGTATGTAGAACAAACAGCCATTCTTTCCATTTCTAACTCTCATTCCTTATTCTCATCTGTAGTGGCTACCATATGACCAAGGTCTGTATGTCCTTCTGTATATACATAAGCATGTGTGTGAGATATTTGAATACAGAAAGGTTTCCAAGACCAAACCCGACTCCATAGTGAAGAATTACCTGGGAAGTGTAAAGTCACGCTCAAGACCTGAATTGTGTGGGGTCCTTGGGGTGTAAGGGGGCTCTGGTTCTTGAGAGTCATGGTGCCAGCCCACAGGAGAGGATGGAAGTATCCACTTGTCATACTCATTGCCACCAGCAATCAGAATCATCAACTGCCTGGCCTTTCTCTGATTTCATATTAATTAAGCCCCATGGGTGCATCCATGGATGAGCACCTGAAGACCTAGTAGGTCTGATGGTTATATTTTTCAGTGAAAAATTCTCTGAGAGCTTGGCTAACACCAGTTTGCCCTGAAAGGGGAGCCCAGTGTCTTGGTACATTGGAAAGGCAGAGTTCCATGCCTGTCTGACTGAGACCCAGCAAGTTGGACAAGATGTGTGGGCACACACCTGGTAGCCTGCTGTCTGGCCCCGGGGGCGGGGGTGAGGCAGGGGGCAGCAGGCCTTTTTCTGCAAACTCTAACAGAGCTGACCTGCAGAAAGCTCTGGTGTAGATCACAGGGAAAGAACAGTCATAGTGGGGGGATAATTATAACCATCTTGCTTGTGGCTCAGGAATCACTGTGACACTCAGGGAGGAAGAAATGTCTCCCTGATACTTTTTGGCTGTGAAAAAACAGATTTTTCCTTGTGTCCAGCAACTCCCTGTGAACATGATTCCCAAGTCTGGCCCAGCAGGGGCAGCACCTAGAAAATAGATGCTATGTCTAAACCTAATCTGGGAGGTCTGTACAATCCCATTCTAAGGGCTCAGCCCAAGAATTTGACTGGAATTCGTGAAGATAATTTGATTTTTGTTTGTTTTTGTAATGGAGGGATATGCTACCACTGAGCTACATCCTCAGTCCTTTTTGTTTATTTTTTATTTTGAGACAAGATTTCACTAAGTTGCTGAGGCTGACCTCGAACTTGCCTCAGGCTCTTGAGTTGCTGGGATTACTGGCATGCATGCACCAACGTGCCCAGTTTACCAATTGATTTTTGAATTGTATAGATAAAATATCTCTGCTGGGGATGTGACCCAGTGCTAGCTGGGTTCAGTTCCCTGCATTCCCATCCCCAAAGAAAATGTCTCAAGACTAAATGAAAGGCTAGAATCTCCTGGGCTGTTGTTCTTGTCTTCACCGAGCACAGCACTGTGGTGTATTTAAATCAGCCTTAGAAGCCAGGTCCTATGATGCACGCTGGTAATCCCAGCTGCTTGGGGAGGCTGAAGCAAGAAGGACAAAAGTTCATGGCCAGCATGGGCGACTTAGTGAGACCCTGTCTCAAAATAAGAAATAAAAAGAGCTGGGGGGAAAATTCAATGGTAGAACACCCCTGGGATCAATTCCAGTACCCCCCCCCAAAAAAAAAAAAGAAAGAAAGAAAGAAAGAAAGAAAAATCATTAATTTATTCAATCAATCATTTAATCAGCTCTAGGTCAGAGAGCTAGGTTCTTTTCTTAGCTCCTCCCCACCATACGCTTTGGATAGCAAAGTCCCCCCCAGGGCCAGACAGCAGGCTACCAGGCGTGTGCCCACACATCTTTGCTCTCTCAACCGGTTTCCCCATTTGAAGGAGAGTTTGAACAAGAGGTTTTTTATAAGCCCTAGGATTCCTTTCAATAGTTCATGGATGTCAACTTCATGCACCACCACCAGGGGGCAGTAGGCCCACGATTGTGTGTTTAGGAGCAAAGTGACCAGAGCCACAGGCTGGGTACCTGCTTTTTAAGCCCTGCAAACTGCCAGATAAAACATCTTCAGAGTTTGGGAGTCTTTGTTGAAGGCATTTTACAGACATATTTATAAAACCTAATATATTTCAGTCTTAAATCTGATGAGCCATAAATTAAGTTACTCTAGTGGCAAATTCAACTGTTTTGAAATTCTTTCCTTTGACCCCAGACCTTGTTGTTTTCTCCCATAATCTCTATTATGCAAGACACACTGATATCCTGAAATGTATTGTGCTAGTAATGGCTAGGTCATCTATATTTGTGGTGGAGTTGGAGTTAGATCTTTGAAAGGCAGTGTAGGCCATCCGTTTTGTTTTTTGATATTGAGACATTTCCTAAGGGTTTTCACCTATTTATGTTTAGATTACGTGATCTGAGTGGAGAAATTCAAACTTGAAGGACTGTTGAAGGTCGGATAAGATAATGAATGGCCTGCCTGACCTCAAAATGTTATGGGGACTGTAAATATATGATTTGACGTCACTGTTTAACAATAACCTTCATTATGTGGATGTACTAGCTCTCGCTCGCAGAAAGTATCTTAAGCAATTATGCTCTGCGACACTCTTCACTCTGACTGTAATTCATTCTTTCCCCTTATCTGAGTACTTTTAGAGTGCACGGCGTATAAAAGGATGCTGGCTGCTCTCTGTTGAAAGTGGGAGTAATGGTGTAGGAAGTGGAGATAACACTTGTAGGTTCTTCCTCTTCAGGAAGAAGCTGAGATGAGTGGGCACACAGCATGGCCAGGTGCTGGTTGGTGTGGGTGAGATGCAGGCAGTTTTGGGGTTGGGGTTGCATAGAGAGGTGGGAGGGGCCGGCTAGGCCCCCTTAGAGAAGATCATCTCTGGGATTCGCGTGGCGTTGCAGTTTGGAAGGACAGGCAGAGATGGCAACAGGCAGAGCAGGGAAGAAGCAGGCACAGAGTTCAGCTCCCATGAATAGGTGGTATGTAGGTGTATGTGTGTGGGGGGGCAATTGCAGGCTTTCATCCCAGAGTCTAGGACAGTTTGGCTTTCCATAGGGGCATTGAGGCCTCCCACCCAGCATGGCCTCTGCAGTGTTTGGGGCCAGTGCCTGAGCTGCAGGGCTGCTCCTTCGACATGCATGCTCTCCGCCCCTCCACTGGCTTGGGCTAGTAGCTCAGTGGAACATCTGGGATGGGCTGTGTCTTATGACAGTATGGGTGAGTCCAGTTGTCTTCAGTCTGGTCTCTATGATCTACAGGGATAGGACATTCTAGAACTCTCTGAAATAAGGGTCAAAATTGTAACTGATACAAGACTTTGTTTGAATTTACCTTACTTTTTTTTTTTTTTTTTTTAAGGATTTGGGCTCTTTAGTTCTATTCTATCTTTAGATCTATTCCATCATCAGCACATTGCATTGTAATTCTTTCACTGTGGATCTATTTTCTTCAGTATTCTCTTGGCATCCCACATGGCTAACAAATACAGGTTCTAAAGGATTGTCTTTGATGGAAGGAGGACAGACAGATGATTTGGTACTTCACACTTTCAAATTCATCTACATGATGAATTGGACAAAAGAAGGTATATTTCCTGGTCTTAAATTCTGTGAACAAAAGTGAATCAGTCACATTAGTCATTGTCCACCAATATGTGGCTCACTGACATACCTGTATTTGTATTTGACTTCTAATTTTCCATCCTGTGAATTGATGGCTGTTCCTGACCTCCCAGACTCCAAGTCATAGCAACTGAAGGCTGAATTTCCACCTGGAAGCCAACAGCCTTTGGGCCTTTCTTTCTAGTGTCTTCTGAGAAATGGGTCTGGTAGCATGCTGTTCTCTCTCCCCTTCCTGCTCATTGATGGTATTCCAGGGGCTTTACATATGTTATCAATAATCCCCTCAGCAGTAAAGGTTTATTATTGTTTCTGTGTAATCACAGTAACTCCTGTTTATTGAATGGCTACTGTGTACTAGGCTCTGAAAGTACATAAGCTGATGTAATTCCCATAGCAGCTCTGTGGGATGTGTAGGGGTTCTCTTGTCCTGATTTTTAGAGGAGGAAATAGGAGCTTAGTGGAAGTTCACAGGTATGAAGCAATGGAGCCAGCTATGGAGCCTGGGCAGTCTCACTCCAAGGCTGATTTTTTGTTTTTTTTCCCAGTACTGGAAAGTGAACCCAGGACCTCACACATGTGGGACAGGTGCTGCATCACTAAGCTACATCCTCAGCCCTGCTGATGTTCTTAAATCACTATATTCTGCTATTTAGTTGGCAAATGGAAGATCAGATATGGAGCCAGACGCAGAGAAATTTAATACATTCAGGATTACTTTATTAAGTGGCAGGGCCAGAATTCAAATATGTTTGCTAGTTAACTTGTCTGTCTTAGTACCTTGAGAATATAGGGGAAAGTTCAGTCTTCTAAGAGGGAGTTAAACCCGGGAAGGTAGCCAGGCATGGTGGTGCACAGCTGTAATCGCAACTACTTGGAAAGCTGAGGCAGGAGAATCACAAGTTCAAGACCAGTATCAGCTATCAGCAACTTAATAAGACCCTGTCTCAAAATAAATAAATAAATAGATAGACAGAAAGGGCTGGGGGTGTAGCTCAGTGGTAAATCACCCCTGCATTCTATCCTCAGTTCAACGGAAACAAAAAAGCATGGGGGTACATTTGTTGCCTCGTAGACAAGGGCTGCACCTTTGATAACTGCGTAAGTGTTATCTTCCTGGGGCCCGTGGAAGCTTTCCTGAACAGGGGCATGGAAATGCAGTCCTCACTCCTCCTTCTGCTCTTCCAGCAAGGTTCCTCTAAGGAGTTCTCTGTCCTTGCTCTTCTGCTCTTCTTTCTACCTTGAACTCTGTAGCTAGATGTTCGTCCCCACTGTGCCAATGAACTTACGCCTGTCAAAGTTGCTGTTGTACATCATCTTGCAAAAAGCACACAGTCAGGTCTTGAGTGCTTGTTTGTTCCCAGGGCTGGGAGTCAGACTCAGGGCCTGAGAGTGCGGGGGTGCTCAATGCCGAGCCATCCCAGCTCCCAGCAGTCAGTTCTCAGTTCCCCTCTTGATTGACTTTTCAGTAGCATTTGACATTTTGATTTCTTTCCAGATCTTCTTTTTTTCTCAGTTTTCCTTGTTGAGGACTTTGCCACTTCCTGGGTGCTTCACGTGGAATGTCGTGGAAGGCTTCCTCAGGCCATCTTCTCTATCTTCAGGCACACAGAGAGGATGGCACCTGATCCAGGGCTTTAAATACCATTGCCACTGAGCACCCTCAGACATGTCCAGTCCACGCTGGACTCCTTCCTTACTGTGAATCTAACTGCAAGCTCAGTAACTCCACTTAGATATATTACAGACATTTTGAATTTAACAGGTCAAAACCAGACCAGATCTCTTGATTTCCCTACACACTTACCTATTTACACCACGTCGACCTCTCTCAAAGCCCTATTTTTCCCAGTCATTGACGTCACTAATTTTGCTCAAGCCAAAAAACTCATCCTGAATTCTCTATCCTGGTACAAATAATTTAATTCATTAGCAAGTCTGTGTGTGTGTGTGTGTGTGTGTGTGTGTGTGTGTGTGTGTTGGGTGGTACTGGGGATTGAATCCAGGGGCACTTAACCAGTGAGCCACATCACCAGTCCCCCCCCTTTTTTTTTTGAGACAGTCTCACTAAATTACTTAGGGCCTCACTAAGTTGCTGAGGCTGGTCTTGAACTTGGCCATCTTCCTGCCTCAGCTTCCCAAGTTGCTGGGAACACTGCACCTAGCAAGAGGCGGTCTCTTGAGGTGGAACTTGTGCCGGACACACATTCCTGCACACGAAGGCAGCGGGGGTTTGATGGTGACCATGTGGGTGAGTGAATGACTTTCCTTAGCCCGTGTGCTGTGACCCACCTCTGGCTCTTTCCACCCGCAGCTGTGCACGTCTGATATTCTGTGGGAGCAGATAGTGCAATCCTCCTGTGACACCATCACTTCCGACATGAGGGCCCTGGCAGAGGACATAGGCTGGAGACAAATGTTCTTCACCAACAAGCTCCAGCTGCAGCGGCAGCTCCGCAAGAGGAAACAAATGCACGACAGCCTGGGAGAGAATCAGCTGTTTTAGGGACACCTTTTGCTGCCGGCAGGAAGCTCTGAGGCACCTCTGTGCTTCTCTTCAGGGTCCAAATCTTAAGAACAACGTTCCACTGATCCCAGGGTCTTTCGAAAAGAATAGAGGATTTGTACACAAATGCAGAACTCGGCCACCCAGGGCCCTGCTGGAACCACCATCCCTGTTACACGGAGGGCCAGGTTGTGGCCCTGGAACAAGGAGGTCAAGATAAGGAGCTTCGCGGGTCACTGTCTTCCCAACCCTGACGGTGCTCAGAACAGACACTGTGCTGTACATCAGCAAACAATAAATGGTCATCAGCAAGTTTCATTATATCTGTTGTTTGTAAGATCTGAATGAGTGACTGGACTCCTGAATTTTTTCCTGGTGTTGTGTCATCTGAGTTGTCACTGGGTCAGAGGTCCTAGAGCCGTCCTGAAAGGGGAGTGGACCTCAACTCAGCCTGTGAGGGTCCCCTATGGCAAATCAGAAAGGAACTTAAAGGATGGGTCACAGTGAGGGGCAAACTGGTTTTATTAAGATAATGCAAGGTGTGCACGTTCTCGGGGTTGCTAGGGCGCGGGCACTGGCGGGGAACTGCTAGTCCCCCAAGCGACAGGTGTACACTGTAAGATCTGTGGTACACAGGCCTCCTCTGTGTGCGTCACTTGACGTGCTAAACCATTACATCTCTGGGTTGTTTTTTTCTGTTTTTGATGGAAAATCTCTATTCATTTCCTCACCTGGGGGTTTCATCATTGTGCTTTTCGAATTTTAACAGGATGACATTTGTGTGGCATTGAAGGTTCTATGGAGAGTGTGACATGGGGATGAAGTCATCAGATCTTCAAAACAGAAACCACAGGGAAGCCTATTTGTTGAGCAAAGCCCTCTCAGTCCTGTTTTTTGTTTTCTTTTGGTTTATGTGTTTTTTTTAGGTCTAAGTCAGGAGAGAAGTTATTTATGGACTACAGATAAGGTCTGATAATTGATTTAATATATGGAATTGAAATTTACTTCTGGGGTTTTAAATCACATAAAAGTGGACTTAAATGATGGCTACTGTCACTTCATCCCATGTCTCCCTAGCTGTCCCCCTGCCTCCTATCCTACCTCAGCCCACGCTTGAGTAGATGGCTGAGTGTCCCCACTGAGAATTCAGGGCCAGGAGCTGGGGGAGGCGCTCTAGGTAAGTGCCTTCTCAGTTTCGTTCCACTGGGTTTGTATTCTGTCTGATGTCCGTGTGATCTTGTCTAACACCCTCCTGCCTGAGGAGCCCAGGCGAGTTTGGGAGCAAGCTAGAATTGTGCTGATGAGGTACATCAGACCTCCCCAGCCGATCCTATTGGCACTGAAGCAGCCCCTGATCGGGAGCCCAACTGGGATTATAATTCGCTTGGAGGAGTAACCAGTAGAAAGAAATTCATTACTTGCCTCATGGCAGGATTTAGAAAGGCAGCCCATAAGGCTATCAATTATGAAAGGCTCCAGGAAATCATCTAAGATAAGAATGAAAACCCTTCAGCACTTTTAGACGCCTGACCAAGGCTTTATGACAATATACCAACCTGGACCCTGAGGCTCCAGATGGGAGACAAAGCTAATGACAGACCTTTCCTCCCAGAGTTTCCCTGACATTAAGGCCAAACTAAGGTGCCTCAAGAGGGGTCCCTAACTCCCTAAGCTGAGGTTCTGGGAGTGGCCTTTAAGGTATATAACGGGACAGACAAGAAGGTCTGGGAGCAGAAATATCAGATGCTGGCTCAAGCCATCGGCCTAGCCTCAGCATCTGCCCCTGGTTCCACTGCCCCATGGTAGGGTCACTTAGGACTGCCCGGACCCTGTTTTAAATGTGGTCAGATGAGTCACTAAGCTTGGACCTGTCCCAAGCCTTGAAAGCCTCCGGGCCCTTGTCCTAAATGCCATCAGGAGGGACAATGGGGCATTGACTGTCTCTGGTCCCATAGCAACCCCCGCCATCCAGCCCTTCTGGTTCCCCTTTCCGACTCTTAGGACTGACCACTGAGGACTAACGAGGCCCAGGTCCTCACCACCCGACCACTACCATCACTCCGCGGGAAACCAGGTAACTCTGTACTTCAGGTGGGCCTCTCTCCTTCCTTCTGGACACCAGGGCTACATACTCAGCCCTCAAGGAGTTCTGGGGACCTACTGCCAACTCTTACAGACACCTAGCCTTGTTTGCACTTTTGGGTCTCTAATTTCTACCCACTCCTTTTTGGTCATGCCACATGCCCTGTTCCCCTTATGGGAAGGGACATCCTCACAAAGTTGGGGGCTATGCTTTCCTCTCCTCTCATATTCGCTTCCATCCAGACTCACCCGATGCTCCTCTGAGCCTCACCCTGACCTTAGCACCATCCCCTATTCCGTCTGCCAGTGCCTCCCATTACCCCTTCCAGGGTGGACCCTACTGTCTGGGATGTATCAAGTCCTTCTATCACCTCACACCACAAGCCCGTTCACATCCATTTCAGAACCCCCTCCATTTTCTGCCCAATCACAACACCCCATCTCCCTCCTTGGTGCTGCTGTCCCTCTCCTTTTGCAGAGCAGCCTCGTCAGGCTCCTGACAATAAACCCGTTTCCTACCCCAGGTGTGTGCGTGTGTGATTGGTCCTGCCCCACTTTTCTCCCATTGGTGCCAGGGACTGGATCATGTTCTCCTATCAGCTTTGCTCTCCCCTCCAGGGATGTGAGCTGCTTTGGGATCCTGAAGGCCCAGGCCAATGACCACACACCTTCTTCCATTCACCTAGCGCTCTTCTTCTTCATTTGGGTAAGTGACTTGGCCCTTCCCCTCTCCTCCTCCTCCTCAGTCTACTCCCTGGAGACAAGCCTCCTCTCTAGAACTTAGATCTTGGCCCAGCACCAAGATTTTCGCCCATCCCTCCCTCTTGGTGAGTTTACTCCACTTGCCATGGGGAACTCCCAGTCCCCTTCCCTTGGTTCTCAGCTCCTCAGCAGAGCTCATGAAAGCCCTGGCCAGGCCACCAAGACTCTCTACAAGCAAAGCCCAGGACTAGGGAAGTAGCAGGTGATTCCCTTCTCAGTCCCAGACTCCAACCCGCCATGGGGAACGCCCAAATCCCATCCGACTCACCCCCTTAGCCCCACTCTGTTTGGCTCCTGATCTAAAGGCCCATTGGCCAGTTCAACCTTCCAATCTTCATAACTTTTGCGAGCATTCAGGAAAATGGAAGGAAATCCCTATGTACTACTTGCCCCTAAAGCTCTGGATTCCTCCAGAGACCCTACTTGTAGACAAACAAGGGACCCAGAACCTTCCTACATTGTAAAGCCCTGGGCAGCAATCTCCCTGGCCAAGGCCACACTGAAGCTAACATTGAAATACAAAGGACAGACTCAGCAGGCTTGATAAGAGGCCTAAAGGGGAAAATGTGTCAATTTAACTTGTCTCTGGCTACAACGCAGAAGAATGGCTTCAAAACTTTTTCCTCTCTCTATCTCCCTGATCTCACCCTCCCATTTCACCTTTACATGTCTAAAAAGCAGGGGTTTGCTCTAGGGGTCCTTGGACACATGCTGGGGCCAACCTTTGCCCCCTACCAAAGGCTTCTCTACCAAAGGTCTTGAGCCTGCTCTTCGGGGATAGGCCCCTTGCCTCTCTACTCATTAACAAGTTAAAGAAATTCACTTTTGGGGCCTCACTCACCCTCCTGGCTCCCCAACACCTTAAGGAGCTCCTCACCAACAAGGGCTTACATCCTTACCCCCCTGTCGCCTTTTATCACTACAGGTGTCCCTGGTGGAAGATCCCCTCCAGTCTTACCTTCCACACGTGCTCACTTTTAAACCCTGCTACTTTCCTCCCCGCTCCTCAGGACTCTTCCACCTCTTCTCCTCTCACCCATTCAGGCATTGAAACTCTGGAGGAGCTTCTCCCACATCCCTCCCACACACAGGAAGCCCCTTGCTGCAGGCAACATGCACGAGGTTCACAGATGGCTCCTCCTTCCTTCGGGAGGGAGGCCCTGGGGCAGGGTCTGCTACAGTCTCTCTCACCCAGGCTGTGGAAGCGGCTCCCCTCCCCAGAATACGTCCAATCAGCAGGCTGAACTTGTAGCCCTCATCAGAGCCTTCACTTTGGCAAAGGGAGTCAATGTCTACGGGATGCAATGTCTACACTGACTCTAAATATGCGTTCTGCATACTTCTGACCCACTCTGCTTTTTGGAAGGAGCAGGATTCCTTGCCACCAAGGGAACTTCAATTACTAATGCCCCCTTTATCTACAATCCCCTTCAGGCCTCAAAGCTTCCCACTGCCATTGGAACTGAAGGATGGCAGCTCAGTAACCCCTTCTGCCGTGGGCACTTCCTTTCCTGATCTCTCTCCTTGTCATGGGCCTTTGGTAAAGCTTGCCCCCTGGGTCATTAGATTTATTCAAAACCAGATTCAAAGGATCAATCTCTAACCAAACCGTGAGCCACCTTCTGTTGCAGGACTTCCAACCCCTCACCAAACCTGGATCATCTGGAGTCAGCATCGCCCAGTACCTCCTGACCCTCACCACTGCCTCAATGACTCCCTGCCCCCCTGACAAGGGTCCAGACTCAGCCCCTTCCCAGCAGGAAGAAGCTACAGGAGATTGATCTACAGCCCTGTCCCTTAAGGGGCCCAATAACAAACAAAAAAGGAGGGAATGTAAGGTCCTTGCTTAGCATCTGGATGGCCATCTTAAGCGACAGCTGCCATTTTAAGAAAAACTTCGCTTACCTGTCCAAGGGCGTTTCTGAGAAAGGTTCTCCACTCCCTCATACCACCCCCCCCCCTTAACCCCACATTAGTTCCCACCCAAGTCTGATCCCTGAGCCTGCCTCATAAAAGTCCCCAACCCCAAGCCTGTTTTGCCTCTCTCTGTCTATGGAGAGGTGGCCTTCAGTTGTCAGCAAATAATCTTGTGTGTATCTCTGCCTGGTCTCCGTCTTTCTTTTCTCTCTCCCGGTTCCTCGCTTTCCTTTCAAACACCCTACAACTCTTGGACCAGAGGAGCTTCCCAGGATGCACTGGGTCTTCTGGATGTACAGAAGCAGGGGGCTCTGGCCCTTCTCCCCACCTGAGTCTTCTGGAATGGTCTGACTGCAGGGCTCCATGACAATCTTCCCCCATCCCCAGAGGAGATCTTGTTATGCTGCCCAGATTAGTCACAAATTCCTGGGCTAAAGCCATGGTTCCCTCCCACCTCAGCCTCTCAAGTACATGGGACTACAGATCTGTGCCACCATGCCTGGCTCCGATTTAAAAACAAAGAAACAAAAACATCCAAAACACACAACAACAAAACCAAACC